ATCTCACCCACCCAACCATCACCAGCTAAAAATGCTGCACATTCCCTTACTAGTCTCCAGAATCCACCCAGCTGACCTTGTTTATCCTAAATTAGTATAATCTACACCAGCTGAAGTTCCTTAAATAAGGCAATTGTCAGCATGGGGCTTATGATCAATCACTATTATAAGGCTTGAGGTCACCAAGGCCTAGCAGTGTGTCATTACTGCGGCTCCCACCAGCCCAGAAACAGCAAAACAAGCCATGGATGATGGGCCACACGAAGGATGCAATGATGACCAGATGTTATGGAAGACAAGAAAACATCAAGCGAGTCCCTGACCTTTCTCAGACACTCAGCTTAGTGTTCAGACTGCAGATCAGTGTCATCAAACACTCAACCCGATCGACCACAAGCGCGGACCGGTAAGAACGTCATCAACTCCTGTAATTTCAGCCTTAAAACTTGATGTCCGTCCAGCAACACTTTGTTGGCGAGAGAGAACCACCTACACCAGTTCAGACGAGAAACCACAGGGGAGCTAGAGGAAAGCAAATAACTCTCCATCAAGCTCGGCGGAAGTTTTAGGAGACAACATGCTAGGAATTACAAAGGACTCCAGTCTATGGTTTTTTTCAATAATCAGGGCACAATTCTCTCACCTTGTGTCATGGAGTGGAGACATTTATCATCCTGACAAGCCGGGCTTTCTTATATTAACGGCTGAGAGTTCATGGGAGTTCATCCACTCCTACGAAGCTTTAAAAGAGACCGCCCTCCTGCCTCTCGCGTCATTTTTCTGATTTGTAACAGGTACTGAACCTCAAGCACGGCTCTGCATGCTCTGGGTGTAAGATGCCTGGGAACGGTGACCCGCTGCTCTGATTTCTTTCAATGCCAGTGCTGTGAAAACCTGCCCATTTGCAGCACTTCACCCCCTGCAACCCCGAGCCAAGCCTGCGACTCAAACACTGGCACCCGCTCAGTCAAAGTGTGTTTTTAAAATACGCTGAACTTTGCAGTGGCGAATAACAGACCCGAGGGGAAAGTAGCTGCCATAGCAAAAATTATATATATATTTATATTTATGATGTTTTAGGTCATTGTAGAAAGCTGAAGCGGAGGACATTAAGATTTAATCAAGCATCCTGGTTCTGGCTATATTTAAACATTAAAGAAACAAAAGAAGGTCTAAAATTAAACCAGAGACACGGCTGAAAGTTCAGACATATGAAGATTTTCCAACCTTGCCAGCTATCGTAGAAATGGCACCCAGACACGCAAATTGTACTAGACTGATGATATATTTGCCTTTCAACACCTAGCTGTTTTTTAAATTAATTACGCTGATGCTGTCTTCAGCTGCTCCATCGCTGATCACTGCCTTTGAGTGCCTTTCTTCCCTTTCCACTGTGTCAGGGACTATTTTATTTTCGTCAAAGTCCAGATTCACAGGTCTGACTGATGTCTGAGGAACAAACTAGTCAGTCATCATAGCCCTACTCAACTATTCCACACTGGTGTCCCATGAACGGACACTGAAAACAATAACCTGCAGAATCAGATAGCCTTAAACAGAAGATTTCTTGGATATGGGATTTTGATAAGCCAAGGCTGTGGCAAAGCAAAACACCATCACTCGGAAGTCATTCTGACATCAACAAATCTGACACCAGCTTGTCAAACCCGCAAAGATTTTTTAAAATGTAAAAATGGGCGAATATTGATTTTTTCATTTGTAATATTGACAATGGGCATCATTACCTTGTCATAAGCCCAAGTATCTTCTGGAAACCAAAGACAAATAAATATCTCTGATAGCTTTAAAAGCTTACTTGTGATTCTATAAAATTCACCCCCCCCCCCCACACACACACAAGCCTCACTGACCAAGATTAATATCACAATGTCATATTTCTCGTCAGGTATACAAGAACATAAATAGGCATCGGGAATATCTGATGCATGGCCTTTCATATTGCATTTCTCATTTCACACATGTTAATGTAACATTGCAAATTACTAAGTATCTGTTGCCATAATGCCAAAGAACCCAACCAGAACTACAATGGCCCATGTTAAGCTGAAGAACACTGGCTTGCTGCGGATAATCACATAATTGCACCAGATGCGGGTCGTGGATATGTCATCGCCTCAGGCTGTTCTCTCTGTCACCATGATAGGTTCCCCCCTCCACCCCCCCCTGCAATTCAAACAGCTTGAGGGGTCAATAGAATGACAAGATTGCGCTTTGCATCCTTGAGAAAGCACATGCTGTAGATAAACAAATACAACCGCCGGAGTATTTACCAGAAGTCTTTTTCACCAGCATGTGAGATAGAGCAATGCACGATATCATCTGGCAATCACTAAGGCAAAAAGAAGACAGCCATTAAGAAAACATCATCCTTCACTCTAAATGGACTCTAATTAGTCGGAACATCACATCAGTCAGGATACATCAGTTCACACCAGTGTGTTCGCGTTTACGTCGCCGGGAAATTGACATATAGGCCCGTTTTCTTCCCCCGCATACAGTACTGACTGTGAAGACAAGAGCTTCATCACTCATATTCAATCCTACCTGCCTCCTCCTGTATTTTAATCTTTCCCTTTGCTTTTCAGTTACGTACGTTACCAGCATAGTTTGCTATTTTAAACATGGATGCTGCAAAGTAGCCTATTAAAAAGAAGATTACCAGCTGAGTACTTCGATGAACCATCACTTAAACCATTCATGTAATATTTATTAAAAATACAATATACAATACAACAATTCACTTAAAAAGTACAATATAATACATAGTTGTTCCCATTTCAAATCAGAGAATAACAATCATACAAAATCCTTTTCGGCAAGCCTAATCTGTAGCCAGGGTACACACTGCATGAAACAATGTCTACTTCTTGATGCACACAAACTCAACTGGCACTGCACGGGTTACTGTCAATCACCAGTGTCTGAATGTCTTTTACACAGGAAAGACATGTACATTCTACACACACCCACCAGTGCTGGTGTGCATCACCACTCACACCACAAATATAGTGACTTCAGTTTTTCACAGAAACTGAAGATGGCCGATTCTGCAAACACATTTCATGTTAAAGTTTGATTACTGATGTGACCCTGGGTTTAACATCAACATGTTTGTTAATGGATCATAGAAAATGGATATATCTGTAAATTAGACAAATTTACTAAAAACTGAACTCAGAACTCAGAGAAGTCAGAACTCTATTGCCAGTATGTGAACATATTGTAATTGGTTGTGCATGGGTGCAAACAGTTAACACTGAGGCGACTACAGTTAACAGGGCACAGTGCAAGCAGGAATAAAGGACAATAGGGTTTAAGAAAATAATAATAATAAAATAAAATAAGAACAGAGAAACATACATGCAAACGGGTATTTTTCTTTTCAATACCTGGAAGTGCTGAAAAACTATAGATTATGAATAATGAGATCAGGTAATTAAAAAACCAGCTTGGTCACCCAAAGTTATGATTTGTTGCATTTTCATTCTTGGCAATAGCTGCATTGGTCTTTCCAGTTCTATGGTTGGGAAGCAAAACAGATTCGAAGACCTTCTTAAGTAATGGCATTTGGAAGCTACATCACAGCTTAGACAATCCGGCACTTTCCCGCAAACTCAATTTTCAGCTTGTGCCCGGTTTGTAAAATAGATTTAGACTTTTTTGACCTCTTCTGGATTTTCCATCTTTTATTTCTGTCCAAACAGTGAAAAAAATGCAATGAAATAGACCATGTGGAATCAAACAAATAGAACAAAATATTGATTAAAAAGTGAAAAAAGTAATCACGATCCATTGCCATCACCGATTCAGAAATATTTCTTTGGCTTATGAAGATGGAATTGAGTCAAGCAGCATCAATAATGAAACATTTCCCGCCAGAATTAATAATAACTCTGGGGTGAATTTTGTCCTCCAGACCGGGGTGTCCTGTTGAGGCTCCACGGTCTGTGGGTTTTCATTTTGCTCCAGCAATCAGTTGATGGAAGTCGTTGTTTTGACAGATGTTGGCTTTTATGGATATGAATCGAGCGCGGACTGTTAAGTGCGCCGATTAGCAAATTATTCCCATAGACAGTGAAAAGGCAAACGTAAAAACTCAATTCGCAGCGTTTTCAGGTGAGAATATATTATGTTGATAGGACAACTATTAAATTGTTGTGCGCAAAAAAACGAGGCCGTGGCACCTTACATCTGAAAAATGACATTATGTATTGATTAACTGATTTAATCACAGCGAACAATTCAGCAACGGATCGATTGTGGGATCTCTCATATTTGCTCTCAATTATTTTACCATGATGCATATCGCCAAAAACAGTCAATTGTGACGTTTCAAAACTTTTATTCATATAGGCCTAGTCATATATTTCTTAGATTTGTTTTAGATCTGTTTGAAGCTATCCTAAATATATTACAAAACGCATTTTACGTTACTACAACTAGGCCTACTTGGATTTAGACCTACGTCAAATATTCTTTAGCCTGTTGATTTGTACGTATTTTAAATAAAATCAATTTAATTAGTGTGTCACGTGCAATTTGCGCCTAAAAGTGTCAAACTTCTGCCAGTTATGAAACAGAAAGCAACATAAGCACACAACAGACAACAGTAGCTATATTTTCAAAACGTCAAGCAATTACAACGGGCCAGAGTAAATTAAAGTAATCCAGTGGTTTAATCATGCTGTTACTTAAATGGCAATCGTCAAACTTTAAAAAAAAAAAAAATGTCTACGGTCCAAAATATGTGTCAGCGCCTAAATGACAAATATAAGCGCTTCTTCATTACGCTTTTGTAAATCACTTTAATGGTCTCGTTTTAGGTTGCTCTTCCCTTCAGTAGGATCATTCACCTTTTTCACGTCTGGTAAGTCGTGAAAGATTCAAGGTGACGGGAGACTTAAGTCTGTGTCCGTGATCGGGCTTTTCGTGGCGAGCTGTCCCGTCCCACTACGTCCCGTCCCGTCCCGTCCCACCCCCACCCATCCCTTTTCCCTCCTCAGGCGCAGTTTAAAATATCACCTCAAGAAAAACCGTGTCGGATCCGTCGCTTTAGCTCCGAGGGAAATGGACTGAGATGGCAAAGCGCCGCTAATAGATCCCAACAGTCTCAAGCCTCTCGCTTTTTATCAGCAGAATAAAGTTACACCACCAGTCGGACTGGCTACACGCTTCCCCGTCTTTTGTTTAAACTGGATGCGGATTAATTGCGATCGGGAAGAAAGTTATTAAAGGTTCCATCAAATCCGATGCTGGGGACTGATGGACAGAACCCATCCTCGGAGGTATGCATTTTATATTTATTAAAACCTTATTCCGACGCGGTTTATCCGTGCCTTTATTTCTGACGTGCTCATGAGGCTGAGTGCGGGGAGGGCTGCCGGCTGCCTTTCGCTGTTCTATTGCAAGTTCAGATCCGACGTATATTGAAAACGCATGATGCTTAATATTCATTCCACGTGTTTCTGCATGAACAGTTAAATGTCACCAAGTAAACCGGCATATTAACCTTAATTTCGTTGCGCGTTTTGTGCGTCTAGCCCGTATAACTGGCTTTGAGAGGCTCGCTGTCTCCGGCGTAGGATGAAGGGCTCAATTATACGTATCTGCAATAACTCCGAAAAATGTTGGATTGACCCGGCGATCTCCCAGCACAGGCATCGTTTTTACAAGGGCCATGGGGAGGGAGAAGTGTGGGCGAAGTACACGTGTGGATTGTTTCGGTGTGGAGGAAGTGTGCTGATCTGAGCCGGGACTTCGGCTTTGTTTGACCGGGATTCTCCGTTTATACTTCCGATTTCGGTTGATGCCGGTGGTCCTCGGTATGTGAAAGAGTTGCGGGTGAATAAATATAGGCTAGTACCGATTTCCCCCTTAATAAAATAATTTCAAAGGGAGTGCGCTCTTACGGAAGTAATTATATAATAGAAATGAATGGGCCCCATTGTCCAGCATTGTGCGACTTGATAAAGCGGTGGGTAGGTGGCCGAGATGATCGGAGCATCACTGTGCTGTCCGCTGGCCTCACCTGTGCGCCGGGCTGGCGTGGGATTGTCAATTTACATGTATGTAAGAGTATTATTGCCTTGTATATAGCCTGTTGATTTTGCAGACAACCCCAACGCTTTTGATGCAGCTAATTTTAGGTTTATAATGGAATAATATAGATTTTCCGTAAGTCTGAAAGCGTGAGTGTCACGCCAGGTGCGCAAGAGCTGATATCTCTGTGCTTCACTCACAGAATAAGCTGTATAACTCTGACGCCTGCGATGGTCGGACTTGAAAGTATCGGGGATTTCTCGCGTAACACCAACACCCCCCGCGATTTCCTGTTCACGGGGGGATTCGTCTAACAGTGCAGGGTTCAAGTTTAATCTTTCCTAAAAAAAACAAAAAAAACCCATCAATTTTGCATGATGTGAAAAGAACTGGAAGGCAAAACAGGAGAAACACACTTAAATTTACGTGTAGGGCATTGACATCAAAACGACTTTCCCCCTAGTTTAAATGTGAAATATTATCTTAAGGAATTTCCGGAAGGCAGACAAACTTCACTGAAGGATTTCTCTTCATTAACCCAGGCTGAATAGATGACTTTCATTAGTAATACATTTTACGTGTTGTCTAACGACACATTTAAAATTTATTTTATTTATGTATTTACTTATTTTAGAAGTATGTCCAGTAAGTGATCATTTGGAACAATGAAAATGCAAAATGTCAGGCCCCTGTATTATAGACTGGTGACCATCATGCTGGACCTAATTTGAACGTGCATTTAACGGCTGAATGTCAAGCAGCATTGTTCTGGTATTGCAGGAATCCTTCTCAGAACGTGTGTTGTGAAGCGTTTTCACCTTGCCGGCACACGCCAGAGGTAACGAGGCCAAGGGGGGAATTAAAGCGGGGCAAGTTCAAGGCTGACCTTTCTCTGGTTGCTGTGAATGCTGATTGGCTCCCTGGAGTCGATGTGTTAATCTGCGTATGAGTCGATGCGAACGGTCCTCTGACCCCTGCATACTGTCTGGCTATCCCTATCTTATTCATGCTGCTTCTGACAGACCTTCTTGTGTACTTGTGTTGAAAATTGGCCCCTTAGAATGACACGTCGCCCCTCCCCAGCATCTGGAAGGGTTGGGGGGGGGGCACACAGAGGAGATTCAGTGAAAGGTTAAAATAATTATGCAGTAGAACCACTGGATAATGGCTCCAATTTAGACCCGCTATAAGCGGGCTGTTCCGTCTCCCGCCGCCCCTCGCATGGTGAGTCTTCCACGCTATACTGCTTTTCTTTGCTCCGATAATGCTTCTATCCAAAGCCGCTTACAATTTATTTATTTCTCAGCTGTTTTGTTATTCTGCTGGATTTTCAGGGTAAGTGCTTGGCTGTACAGCAGGGGCCCGCAGGACTTGAAACTGAAAAGTTCAGGCAGCGAGTTCACCAGCTGAACTACTCACCAATGTCCCCGCTGGCCCTGCGTTTTACGTCGGTGGTGCGTCAGTTCTTCTTTAGTTTATACCCGTCTCCTTAATTAGTAGAATTCTTAATAATGCTTGGTGCTGTCAGGAAACGGGTGATGTAACTGAGGAGGCCTCCCCCTGGTCTTAGCCCCTCAGAAACAGGCAGGTGGGCACCGTAGAGGTCATATCTGAGGCATGGGATTAGCCAATCAGGTGTGGCTCGTAAGGACCGCCCCCAATACTCAAAGCAATGAGTGGCCACCCAGTTCCTGATTTGTTCATAACAGGGATCTCCGACTCCGGTCCTGGAGAACTACTGTCCAGTAGGCTTTCTATTCTACCTGGCTTCCGATGAGCCACACCTGTTCCTGGTATTTACCCAAGAGCAGGGGCCTGTACTATGAAGCGGGGTTACCGGCTTATCGGGGTAACTTGTCGGAATTAAGGTAGTCTGGGCAAAATGTTAGTGAACGAATATATAGTCCATTTAAACTGTGGTACCTTAAATCCGACAAGTTACCCCGATAAGCCGGTAACCCCGCTTCGTAGTACAGGCCACAGGTGTGGCTCATCAGAAGCCAGGTAGGATTGAAAACCTACTGGACAGTAGTTCTCCAGGACTGGAGTTGCAGAGCCCTGCTTTAGAAGGTTTAGCAGGTGAATGAAACACAGCAGCCGTCCTCCCCGACCTGGCACCTTCTTACCCTCCCTCCCTCCCTCTCTTCTCCTATCACTTCCTCCACGTCTCCTAGTCATAATAAAGCAGGACACTTTTGGAAAATAAATGACTATACGCTAGATCATTATGCAACGGAACAATGTGGCCTGAGCTGTATTATAGAGCGTGCTGTTTCTGAGTGCGAAGGCTAGAGTGGCAAGATGGATTTCTAAATGACAATTTGCCATTTTACGCTTTCCATCTGTTATTGATCCTTTTGTATGCGGTTCCTCCGTCGTTCAGACTGTATCAGCATTAACTCATTTTTCTTCCTCGTGTGGCTGCGTACTTTTATACTCGTCAGCCGCAGGAGACGTTAAGCTGGATTGTGAGAGGGGGCACCTTGGGATGGCCATTTTTTAGAGGGAGTCCTTATTTTAGTTTCACTGGTTCCGAAGGAGCGGGGGCTAAGGGAGATTTGTTGAGCGGTTGTGCTCACCTTTGCAAAGGGATGCCCTTCCAGAAATTTCCACAGAAGCAAACTGGACCACAGAGTACGAAAACACCGCACACCTGCTCATCAGGAGCAGAGAACTTGGCGATTCTCTTACAGCAGTTTAATATGCTTGTTGTTATTGCTAAATAGAACATTCACTGTATGTTCAAAAGCATGTGGGCACCCATGTTAGTTGTAGAATTTAAGCAATTAAGCCACACTTATTAATTAAAGACACAGTCACGCAGTTTCCTGCAGCAAACATTAGCGGCAAAGTTGGGGGGTTGCACAGAAGAGGTTAGAGACTTTCCAATTCGCATCATCACAGGAGGCCATCTTTCCAACAAGTCAGTTCGTCACATTTCTGCACTGCTAGAGCTGCCCCGGTCAGCCGCAACTGATGTGATTGTAAAGGTCAAAACGTCTGGGAGCAGGTTCAGCTGTACAATGCTTGGCCACACAGGCTCACAGAAAAGGACCTGATCACCCAACGTCAACATCCAACCTGAATGGCAGCAAATCCCCCCAGCAATGTCCCAATGTCTAATGGAAAGCCTTCCCAGAAGAAAAGAGGCTATTACAGCAACCGTGGGCCGATTAATTTAACATTAAGACCCTTGGTTTCAGAATGAGATGTTGAACAAGCTGGTGTCCATGTACTTTTGGCCATGTAGTGTAATCCTACAGCATGTTTTTTTGTTGAAAGTTTGGCAACCATTAATATTTGACTTCCTGTCAAGGTTAAGACGTTTCTTTGAAAGTCGGGCTTTCAATCGGTTCGTTTTGTAGTGTAACATTAAATAAAATTACTAATTTAGTTTTTTGTGTGCATCGAGTGAGTCTTGTGAGAAATAGTTAAAAAGGGGAAATTTGTTTTGGAGCTTGTTTTTGTTCCTGATGTAGTGCTTTGGGTTTTAGTTTATAGGAAAGAGGAAAACAATTAGGCAAAAAACAGGAGGAGAGCCTGACGTTTCACCCCGGGTTCATGTACTGACCCGTACGTGGCCGTTAACACTCAGGGTCCCTCCTGGGATCACGGTCTGTGGTCTGAGTTTACAGACATCTGCTGACAGACAGCTTCCCAATAAGGGCTCTTTACTGCTATCCGTCTCACTTCCCGGTCGGAGGTATTAATAATTAAAGGAACTTCGGATTTTCTTTAAAGTCATTCTTTTGCTCGCTGAAGTGACCTCAAAGCCAAGAAACGAAATCTGCACGCGCATGGATGAAATGCTCATTGTGATCCACTCCATGGTATGGAAATAATGACATGTATGGTTATGGCTCCTGTTTTGTTTCCAGTTGTGCTTGTGGGGTTGTTCCCAATTAGTTTCTGCCTGACCTCTAAAAATCTTTTGAGAAATGCAATAGCAACACTGGTTATCCAGTGCAAAGCACTTTAGGCCACTCTGTTACCACACTGTTATGCTGGAACGGGCTGCCAAACTCTGTCTTCACTGCCCCCAGTCTGCCTTTCCAGTAAACATTGCACGGCCCGCTTTTCCTCGGAATGGCCTTGGGAGGCAGTGGGGGTGGTGGGGGGGGGGGGGGGGCTGTAGCTGGTTGCCAAGGTCCTCTCCAGGGTCAGCCTTGTGTTTTGCAACCCGCAAGCTCGGAGATTACTCACGCCCATCCAGAAGGGTTCCTAACCCCGAGTACAATCCCTCTCC